CTTTGTATGACTCTTCTAGGACAAGAAATTCTGATTGGAGAGGAGGTCTCTAAAAAGGGCTTGCGATGATCCTAGTTCCACCTTAAACATCAGCCCTCAGCAAGCTATTTAAAGCAAATGAATGACCAAACAGTAACATTTAAAAAAAATAAAGTAGTCCACCATTTACTTTGGCTTAGTGTAAAGAATTTATGGGCAGGAGCATTATTAGAGAACCATTATGCCTCATCACCCTCAAGCTAAGCGTTGGGCAAAAAAGAGGGTACAGGAATCTAGTCAATGGTGTTGGAATAACTATGATGTACAGTGTCAGATGGGTAGGAGACTTGTTAGGATTATCAGTTTGTGAGGGGTGTAAATGTCTAACCACTATGTTATTTTGTACACCTGAAACTAATAATAAAAAAACAAAAGGGTATAGACTACTAAGGATGCCTGCAAGCTGACTACTAATGAATGGATGAGATTAATCAGAATGGCCTGGTGGATTTCTTCATTGCTCAATATTTCATGTCTTATTAACAATAGGAGTCAGTTATACCAAATCACCAATGAAAGAACATGGAATGGAAATTTTGAAACATCCAAGCTCCCACCTTGACCAAATCAATTAAATTTTTGAGGGGGTCAGTGTCTCTATTTGTAAAACACTTAAAATAGTACCATCCTTACAGTTTTTGAAGCATTAACAGGGTGATATGTGAAAACACTCAGCATGGTGCCAAGTAAATAAAGACTTGCCCCAAATATCAATACTGGATCTGGATAGGAGCTTGAGATCGAGATAAGCTCATGGTCTGCTTCTACTAGGCGCTGAGTCTTCACTCTGATGACTTAGTGAGATGGAGCTATTGAAATCACAGATCTTGGGTCACATTAGTTGTAGAGTGTAGATGGCCCATCTTTATGGTAACCGTCAGTGAACACATTGCTATTGGAGGGACTAGAGAATTTAAGACTTTTTAAGGAGTAGTTACTCTTCTGATGGTGACTTTTAAATAATCTGTAAGAGAACATACATTTACCTCAACATTAAAAAGCTTTAATCAGCTGTCCACATAACTGGTGAAGTGAAAAAAAGTTTTTTAGGTTTCTCTACACTTGAAGAACCTGAAACAGAAAAGGTAGAGCAGCCCCTAGATCTCGTAAAGTTTTATATAGAGAACTAGCTACCTATAAGACTCTAAATTAGAGTTGCCTTAATATTGTAACATAGTATGCATGACCAATACTGTTTGCATAATTTACAAACTGATTTCTAATCCTTAGGGAATTTGACTATGTATATTTCCCTTTCTAGTATAAAATTTTGTAAGGGGAAAATTCCAAAGAAGTTCCACTGCATACAAGAGATTAAAGAGAGCAAACTTGGCAAATAAACCAGCTCATAAAAGGTCAAGGGACATTTAAGGGAGCTTGCCAAGATAAACAGCATAGATTCAAAGAAAAAAAAACACTTATAATGAATTAATATTTTAGAGCTCTATCTCATAGCCTAGTATATGTCACTTTCCTATATATTAGAATGAAATAAGCTCATATTTAGCAGATACTCACCAATGGGAAATTGATTTCTGGGGCCCACCTGCCATTCACCTCACAGCTTGCTGCTGGTACAAAGAAAGATTAATGTACCTGGTCACACAGAGCCAGTGGAGGACGTTTGAGGTTGCATCTTATTCATGACCAAATCCTCTCCAGCCAACCATGCGACTTCCTGGAACCATCTGTGAGAAGCTGTGGACTTTGTCATCCTGGGCCATTTATCCAGGCATGATGTTTAATTAGTGCACACAAAGTTGATGTGAAAGGCTTGGCAGCTCATCCCCTCACCCCTGTTGGGTTCATTGCCTCATTAGAAAAGCCCTGGATGGCTGACCAGCCAGACAAAACTAACAAACACATTTTTCTAACCATCCGCAATAGCAGCAACTAACATTTTCATAAAGATTTAAGGTTTACAGAGTGCTTTTACGTATGCAGTGCTCCTTGTCACAGTACGGTGGAGCACCAGACTTGAATTGGGAAGTCTCAAGTCTGAATCCCAATTCTGTCATTATGTGACATTGGAAAAAGTATTCTGTCCTCTTTATGTCTCAGTTTTCTCCTCTGTGGAATGCCTGCATGGGAGTTGTTTAGATTAACTGAGATAGTACATGTGAAAATAACTATACCTTTGCAGGTGATCCATTGGTGATTATTGTTGGGACCAAATCTGTAGCCTTCCAACTTCTCCATCCATTTACTTTAAAGAACAAAATAGTCTGCTACACACCTGAAGAGATGGTGGCCCTCTAAATAGATTGGACAACCAATGACCCTAGAGGTTAACTGAGAAGACCATAATAGGAGATTCAGGTGGGAAGAGTAAAATGGAAGATAGTTGACATGTCTTCAGATAAGATCTCATTGGCAATCCAGGCTTCCTAGAAATAATTACCTAGCTAAGCAACATTCTCGTTGGCTGCTGAACCAACATGGCTATGCGGTGTCCATGCGACCAAAGCAAACTCTTTGGAAAAACACAGAAAACTGTTCAAGCTTGTCTCTAGAAGAGGGATCTTGCCTCTTGCATCTTTTCTTTCCCTGTGTTCTGTTTCCAAATTCCACAACTGAGTCCTGAGCTCCCTCAAGAAAAGGGGAATGGAGCTCATAGAGGAACTGTATTTGAAGGAAAGCAGTGATTACCCCTCCTATCTTTCACAGTCAAATAAATATTTACTAAGTAAGGACATACAGCATACATTAAAATTAATGCTTCGCACAGCTTTGGAAATGTCTGTCATATCTGTCAATGTTTCAATAGCTCCACGACTGTGAGTGGCTCTGCTGTCTCTCAGTGAGAGCTGCCATTTTCCTGACGGTGCTCAGCAGGAGGCTGGGCTGATTACACACTCAGAGCCAGAGGACAGGCAGCTAAGCAGAGGAAAGCCCAGGGGAGGGAGAAAGCGCGTATAAAGTTTCTGTTCAGTGAGGTCTGTGGCCATTCTGCAGTATTTTGGGGGAGTAATTTAATGGCGATTTCAAATAAAGAATAGGAGTTGCATCTAATAGGGATTTTGTGTTTATGGACTATTAACAAAAAAACACTGGAGAAAACTGACAATCATCTTTCCTTGGTTAAATAGCCTATGCAGAGCTATGTCTTCTGTATGTCAAGTTGTCACCAGCCTAAGGGTTTAAGAAGGGACAGTTTGCACTTAAAACATATTGATGCACATGTTTTCCCAAGTGTCATTCACCCAACGCCTGTGCAGTGCGGAAATATTTGGACTTGGGTAATTTTATTTTAGTGCTTTCTCCTCCGCTAGGAAGCGTGTCAACTCCTGACACTAATCTGGCTGCTGAAATGATGGCTTCCAGTTTCATTAATGGTATATTCATGATCCCTTCAAAATGCCAGTGATCTACTCTTCTTGGAAAATATACACAGCCATTAAGAAAGCCACATTTTTTAGCCATTGGTCTTTCCAGTGGCACCTCGGGTCCTACTGTGGTTACCGTCACCAAAAGATGAAAGGAAATTTGACCAGCTATTTTGAGACAGTGAGAGCAACATATCTGGAGAGCTATGGAAATGGAGAAAGTAAGAGGTAAAATAGGAAATAGCAAACAGAGAGGCATGTGTTACTCAGTTGACTACATTTTCCCAAGTATTCAGAAATGAATTAGTGACATTCCTGAATGTGCTGGAATGTCTTGCTTCATTCCAGCTGTGTTTTCTCTGTGACTCATACATTAGGGTCCCATCTCTTCAGTTCTAATACTTGAGTGATCCAATTTAACATCAGTGCTGGCTTCCTGGGGNCAACTAGACTGAAGAACAAAAGGACAGCAACTTGTCTGTTCCCCTTCCCCGATTCCCCAGCGCTGTTCCCCTCCCTCAATTCCCCAATAAAACCTTAAAAAAAAAAAGATACTCCCACTAGAAGAGATACATGGCAACTTGGAGAGACATAGGAATACCTTCCAATTTACAACTTCCAATTCACATTCACTCTGAGGTAGAAGCTCATTGAGAGAAATATGAACAGAATACCTATACATTGTAGTGGCTGTTACATACCTACTCCTAGACAAAAGCAAGGGTGTTAAGCCTTCTTAGAGTATTCATTCATTTATTTCAGAAGCACATGCCATATGATTACTCTGTACCAAATATTATGTTGAGTACTGCAACACTTACATAAAGGAACAAGACATATTCTTGATTCTCTAGGAGCTCATTGTCTGGTGAGAGAGACAGATACTTGAGCCAGTATTGATAACTCAATTCTCCAACAGAAATGTAGGCATAAATTTATGGGAACACAGCAGAAGGCCTTATTAACCTTGCCTGGGATGGGTTACGGTGGTGATCACAGAACTTTCAGAGAAGAGGTACACTGATGATGAGTTTACAATTCTCAGTGCAAAAAAAAGTGGTGGTAACTCCCACTCTAAAGGCAAGCAACACATAATTCATGCTATGGTTTCTCTAAAAGCAAAGCCCATGATCTTCCTAGTACTATTTATTCATTCACTCACTTAATTTTTTAAGCACTATGCTTTAGAGATGAGTATGGGCTGTGGAGTCTCCCAACATATATAGCCTGTGCAAATTTGCTAATTACCCAAGCTCTCTAAATCTCAATTACCTCTCGTTTCAGAGGTGAATAACACCCATATCTTGGGGTTTCTTAAAATTAATTGAGATGATACATGCAAAGTACTTAGCATAGTGCCTGAAACAGAATAAATGGTCAATAAGTACACCTGTTATCAGTCACTGTGCTGTTTTTAAAGATGACTGAGCTCTCTGGGGAAAAGTAGAGTGGGGAGTCTAAGCCGAAGGAAAAGCTTATGCAAACAGAATGAAGAAAACATACTGTGTGTTACGGAAACAAGACAGTCTGTTTGGTGATTGTGTAGAGTGTGTGGTTGCGGGGAGTGGCAAGTGATGAGATTGGAGAGATAAGTTGGGTCCAGATTGTGAAAGACCTTATAAACCATATGAACAAGTTTGAACTTTATCCCTCTGGCAAGGAGCAAACAATGGAGGTCTTGAATCAGGAAAACAACATTATGACTTTTGTAAGGAAGAAACTTCTGGCAGCAGAGCATGTGAGAGATTGGAGAGCAGAGAATTGGAGGCAGGGATATCAGTGGGAAACGTTTGCAATAATTCTGGCAAGAAAAATCCAGTGTAGTGGTAATGAGTGGGGAAGGAAGTGCAAGAATTAGACTTCAGGGATATTTCTAAGGTGGGATTAACATTGCATAATGATGGATCAAATGTGGGGACCAAGAGAGAAGGAAGAGTCTAGAATAATTCTAGCTAGAGTTAAGAAAGTCGAGGAAGCAGCGGCACAGTTGATTTTGTTGGTTACATAAGTAGTATGTGTACACAAGACATACTAGTGAAACTGTTGAACAGGCACTTGAAAGTTAGGTCTGGAGTTCATTGTAAAGCTCTGAGCTAAAGATATAAATTTGGGAGTCATCAGAGAATAGTGAGCAGTGAAAACTCTGGGAATGATTCCAGGAAGAGGAGCTCAACATGCTATCTTTTTAGTCGATTGCATTACTTTCCCTGGTATTCACTCTTCTGAAATGAAGTGAAGAGTAATCCATGTCACATGGTCTCCAAAAATAAGGTCTTCAAGCCATCCTAGAGCTATTCAACTTTCACCACATTTTTATTCCACAAAATGCAACCGTGGTTAAGTCACCACACTTTCTAATGCAGAGGAAGTATCCCGTGGCATTGAATTAATGAAAAGAAACATGTTTCTTGGACTTTGGGGCCTTTATTACCTCTTGATGATAGACAGAAACCATGGCCTCTTATTGTAAATAAGTCACCTTCATTTTGCTCAGCCACAGAATGTTTGAGAGCTAAATTGCTCATTGTTTAGAAGGCAAGGATAAACTCATCTTCAGAAAGTAACTGCATACACATTGGCCGTGAAGCCCATCCTTTATTACAGAAATCCCAGTTCAGAGGCCCTTCTACCCTCTTATCATTTGTCTTCTTCTCAAGTCTTTTGGGATGGGGAGGTGTTCTTCTCTATATATAAATCTGAATGCTTTATTGTGTCCCAGATCCATAATATCTTTGTATGACTCTTCTAGGACAAGAAATTCTGATTGGAGAGGAGGTCTCTAAAAAGGGCTTGCGATGATCCTAGTTCCACCTTAAACATCAGCCCTCAGCAAGCTATTTAAAGCAAATGAATGACCAAACAGTAACATTTAAAAAAAATAAAGTAGTCCACCATTTACTTTGGCTTAGTGTAAAGAATTTATGGGCAGGAGCATTATTAGAGAACCATTATGCCTCATCACCCTCAAGCTAAGCGTTGGGCAAAAAAGAGGGTACAGGAATCTAGTCAATGGTGTTGGAATAACTATGATGTACAGTGTCAGATGGGTAGGAGACTTGTTAGGATTATCAGTTTGTGAGGGGTGTAAATGTCTAACCACTATGTTATTTTGTACACCTGAAACTAATAATAAAAAAACAAAAGGGTATAGACTACTAAGGATGCCTGCAAGCTGACTACTAATGAATGGATGAGATTAATCAGAATGGCCTGGTGG